TCTCTCTCTCTCTCTCTCTCTCTCTCTCTCTCTCTCTCTCTCTCTCTCTCTCTCTCTCTCTCTCTCTCATGTACCAGGTACTAACCTGCGAAGATGGCGTTGTGCTACAGGTACCTCGAAGACGAAGCTGCAGGTAAGTCTCCCTGGCCTCTGCCCAATCTCTCTCTCTGCGGTACTACTCGAGCTCCTACTAGCGCCCAACGCTGAAGACTACTGCTAATGCTACTAGCGCCCAACGCTGAAGACTACTGCTAGCGCTACTACTACTCCTGCAGCGCTCCTCCAGAGTGCTGCTGCCGAATCCTGAAGACTACCTCCTGCCTCCTGAACTGCATGTGAAGTGCTTGGGAAGTACCTAGGAACTACCTAGCAACTACCTGCAGCCTGCAGGGCGGGCCAGTCCTATATAGTGCTGGCCCGTCCAGGAGGCTGCTCTTGCCAATGCCAAGACGTGCCAGACCCTGGTGTTGAAGTTCAAACAAAGGTTGTCTTGAAAACAGGCCCAATATGGCCTGTGCTAAAACCCTGGTTTGGTGCCTGAGTATCAGGGCAGGTCGATCTGACGAGGGCCTGAAAATGGCCCTCAGTTTCAGGCTGAAAACACTCAGGGCCGGAAAGGCCCGGATTTAGCCTGAAACGACACATGGCCTCTAGGCCCTTGTTTTCAGGCTTTCAGGCTGAAACGACACGGGGCCTGTAGGCCCTTGTTTTCAGGTTTTTGGCCTGAAATCGTCACAGGCCTGAAAGTGGCCCGTGCAACCTCTTGCAGGCGCAGCATGTAACACCCCTCCTTCCTTATAAAGTCAAGCCCGGGCGAGGGCAAAGTTGACGATCTGAAGGTGGAATGTGGATGCGGGTGCGACGTGCAGCCGAAGATACCAGTTTGCCTTGCATCTTGCGTTCGTAGTGTGCGAGAACATCCGGAGTTGTTGCTTGGAGTTCCGCACGGGTTAACCAACGGTCAACTTTGTGAGTGCAGTACGCAAAGTGTACCAAGTACTCGGTTGGCCTGTTGCCGTAGCGTCGCTAGGAGATGATGTCGCCGACCTCTTGAAAACCGTCCATAGAGGGTGGGTCTTGCGATCGTCGCTGGGGAAAATTGGCATGTTCCGCTGGCGTGTAAAGAGCCAACTTGGAGCAATGAAAGACCGGGTAGACGGGCAAGTGGGCGGACACCTGAATGGTGAAAGAAGGTCCTTCAGGTGTATCCCCAGCGGGTGCCACGATCGGCGAGGGCCCCATCCATTTCGGGAGGAGCTTGCGAGATAAATCTTGTTCAAGGTTGAATTCTGCAGAGGAATCCAAAACGAGATCGCCAACGCAGAGTGGGCAAGGAAGACGCTGGCGATTGGGCTGTTGGCTCATGCGTTGCTGCGTCTTAGCCATCTCGTCGCGTGCCTTGACAAGTAGCTCTTGCATCCGACGCAAGAAAAGAAGATGGTGGTCGCTCTCGGTCGTGCGTGGGATGATTGTGTCCAACGGAGAAGTGACCGGCGAGCCGTGCTCGAACTCGAACGACAGCATCCCGATAGCCGGGTGGATGGACGAGTTTTATGCCAACTCGACATCCGGCAGCCGCTCAACCCAATTCTTTTGGTCGGGACGAATGAGAGTGCGAAGGAGAACCTGTGAGGTCTGATGTGCCCTCTCCGTTTGGCCATCGGTTTGGGGGTGGTGAGCTGAACTTGGCTTGAGAGATGAGCCCCATCGTTTGATGAGCGCCAACCAAAAATCGGACATGAACCGAGTGTCGCGGTCGCAGACGATTTCCTTGGGGTAACCCTTGGTTCGAATCCAACCGGCGTAAAGAACGTCGGCCAACTCCGGTGCCTTGGCATGATAGCGGCAAGGCAAAAACATGGCGAACTTGGTGAGTCGGTCGACCACCGTGAGAATCCCATCCACACCGGTCTTGTGCTTGGGGAACGGGCCAGTAATGTCCATGGCAATCGCTTCCCTGCGGCGCAGGGGGACCGGTAATGGTCGCAACTCGCCGTACGGACGATGGTTGCAGGATTTGCAGCGTCGGCAAATCTCGCATGACTCGCAGTAGCATGTGACATCGCCGAGAAGGCTAGGTCACCAAAATCGCTCGTCGGCCAATCGTGCGATTGACTCCAAAGTGTCCGGTAGCGGGAGCATCGTGGAACTCACTAAGAAGCCGTGCCTGCAAGTGAGAGTCACTCGGTACGCAAAGAAGGTCCTTCCCCGACGTGTGGACAAGCAAGTACCCCTCTTGGATCCAGTAGTGAGAAGGCGCTGGATTAGGAGAGGAGCAATTCGCTAACTTGTCGTGAAACTCGAGGTCGGCTTGGTAGCCGCGGATGAAGCTGTCTTGCAGGTCGCCGCCGATCTCGAAGATCGAGTAAACTGCGGTACAATGATCCGGGTGCCGTGAAAGAGCATTCGCAAAACGGTTTGACTTCCCCGGAATGTGATCGTGAAAGAAGTCAAATTGGTCGATGAAAGTCATCCAATGGGCGATGGTGCTATTGACGGTGTCTTGGGTCTTGTAGAAGACCAACGGATTGTTATCCGTTACCCATCGGAATTGACTTCGACCAAGGAGGAAGTGCCGCCACCGCTTGAGCGTGTGGACGAAGGCTAGGAGCTCCTTCTTGCGTGCATCATCAATGGAGTGCACGACGGGCACTTTCTTGTTGAAGTACTCGAACGGGTGCCAGTCCACGCCATCGTGTTGCTCGAGGACGGCACCAATGCCATAGTCGGACGCATCCGTAGTGACGCACGTTGCCAATATCGGGTCGTATATGTGCAAGACCTCCGCAGATAATAGCGCGGCTTTGAGAGCCAAAAATGATTCCCGCGCATCCTCTCCAAAGTCAAACGGTCGATCCTCGCATTGAAGCTTGGTCAAGTGGGCTGCGATCTTCAAGTATCCCTTGATGAAACGTTGGTAGTAGCCGGCAAGGCCAAGGAACAAACGGACATCCGTGACGTTCCGTGGTTCCAGCCACTCTTGGATGGCTTGAATCTTGTCAGACAGCGGACTGATGCCCTCTGGTGTGACAAAATGGCCCAAGTATTCCAGCTCTTGCCGGACAAATTTGCACTTGGCGCGGCGGAGCGTCTCCAATACTTGTCGAAGGTGCCCAAGATGCTCCTCCAACGTCCGGCTATAGACGAGGATGTCGTCTAAGTAGACCAGCACGAACCGGTCCAACATTGCACGGAACTCGTTGGTCATTGCCCCTTGAAAGGTCGTCGGGGCGTTGGTGAGGCCAAAAGGCTTGACCACATGTCTGTACGGCGTCTTGAACGCAGATTTATAACGATTGTTCGGCCAGATCGAAATCTGATGGTATCCCGACTTCAAATCCAACTTAGAAAAATACTTCGCGCCACCCAATCGCTCAAGAAGATCGTTGATACGAGGAAGAGGCCCCGCATTCTTGACGGTTTGCTTGTTGAGCTTGTGGTAGTCGATGCACAAACGTAGATCCGTTTTCTTCTTCCGTACGAAGAGGACTGGCGCTCCATATGGAGAGCTACTAGGGCGGATCCAACCCTTGTCCAACAAGTCATCGAGTTGCGCGCGGAGGACCGTAAGCTCCTCCTCGCTCATGCTCTGTACGGCGTCTTGAACGCAGATTTATAACGGTCGTTCGACCGGATCGAAATCTGATGGTATCCCGACTTCAAATCCAACTTAGAAAAATACTTCGCGCCACCCAATCGCTCAAGAAGATCGTCGATACGAGGAAGAGGCCCCTTGACGGTTTGCTTGTTGAGCTTGTGGTAGTCGATGCACAAACGTAGATCCTTGTTCATCTTCCGTACGAAGAGAACTGGCGCTCCATATGGAGAGCTACTAGGGCGGATCCAGCCCTTGTCCAACAAGTCATCGAGTTGCGCGCGGAGGACCGTAAGCTCCTCCTCGCTCATGCGATAAATGCAACCTTTCGGCGGCACGACACCGACCTCAAGAATGATGTCGTGAGAGATCGGCCGATCCGGCACCACACCGGTAGGTGACTCGAAGATGTCGGCGAACTCATCAAGCAACCGCACCACACGGGGGTCCGAAGACAAGTCCGTTGGTGAAGAGTCGGCTACCGCGACGGTCCGTAGGAAGCATAGGCCGATTTCGTTGGGCTGCTTGTAAGCACAAGTAGCCCGGAATGACTTGGCCGTCACTACTCTACTTGGCATCGGATCGAAGGGTGCGGAAGAGGAATAGTACATCGCACTTCGGCGCCGAAAGCGTCGCGAACGGTAAGAGTCCGCCAGTGGAAGTTGACCATGTGATCCGCACTTGCAAGCCAAGGCATTCCCAAAATAACGTCGAAGTCCGTGTCCAAAATGTCGAACGTCACCGGTTCGCATGCATGAGGTGCGAAATACACCGGTACGGCCTCGATGTAACGGTCGACAAGTTGTTGCGTACGTCTGTCTACCAACTTGATCGCTGTCGGGTTTGCCTTCCTTCGAACTTGTGTGCCAAGGCCAACCCTTTTGAATAAAGGCTTGACTCATGAAGTTGCGAGACGAGCCGCTATCCAGCAAAGCGCTGCAGGACGCTTGCCCAACTTGGATGCGGACATAGAGGGGCGGTGCGTTGTTGTCATCGAAACTCGCGGGCCACATTGGTAACATACTCAAGGATGTCCCCCACCGCAACTTCGTCATCCGTCGGCGAAGTTGGTGGTGCATAGAAGGATAAGTATGTGTGAAGATGAGCGCATAATGCTGCGCATTGTGGTCCCGGCAAGCGGCCCATAGTCGGGAGAGGAAGCCATGCGAAATCCTCGGACGTGAGCGGGTCCAATACCCCTATGTTGAACTCGCGCGCCGAATCCCGTGAAGAACCACTTGAAGACGATAAGTCGCCGCTGCTTGACGGAGAAGACGCCGCACACACGTCTTGTCCTTGAGCATGAGTACCCAACGTAGGAACGAGTCGGCCAGCATAGTCTTCATAAGAATATAGAAGAGGAGGACTATCGACTTCCGCATGTGCCTCGGAACGAAGGGCGGTCACCCGCGAAGTGACCGGTTCTGAAGGCATCGAAAGTGTCGTCGAGTCACTCCCGGCGGTGCTTAGTTTCTTGATTTGCCTTTGCCTTTCGATTGGCAGCCCATTATGTCGTGGAGATCGCTGTTACACCACAGACAATAGCAAAATCTCGTGCGTGCCTTGTACGCTTGTTCGAGACTCCGTAATGGGACCATTGGGTTGGAGCTGTTGCGCCGGGCCCAGGGCTAGATGCGATGTTTGTCTTCGTCTTGCCGCGTTCTCGGCCTTCGCGGGAGCGGCCATCTTCCCGAGCGGCTGCGAGTCTGTCCCCGTCATTGGCAGACACGGCCTCGTTGGATTGGTCGGTTGGCGTTGCCGTCGTGACCACGGCCACTTTCGGTCGATGCTGATCTTTGCTCGGGCCTATCACAAACGAACGATGGAGGTTCTTAGCCTCCTTGTTCGTGAAAATGATCTGCGTGGCCTTGTGGAAGAACTACGCCGTTGTCGTCAAGGTGTCCTCGACGTGAGTCAAGGCATTGCCCAACGCCGGACACGACCTCGAGATGAAGTAGTGTTTGACGACCTCGAAGCCCATTTGAATGTCTGGGACGGATGTCAAGCGTTGGTACTCGGCAATCCAGTCAACACTCAGCAGCGTGCCTTGTTCGAAGGTCATCAGCTTGTCCATGGCCTTGATCTCCGGCGGCTCCACTTGAAACCGCTTATGCCGCACAGCCTTTAGATCATCCCAGCTGATCTTGGTGTGCAAGTCGACAGCCACCACTCCGTACTTGGACAAGAGATTGTCCAACCATGCTTGGCACGCACTTCCCGACCGGGAGTATAAGTACGCGCGATGCTTGTGTTCGCTGACGTTGTGGAGCTGCAACTTGAGCTCGAACTTGCGGAACCATGGAATCGGGTCCGTCTTCGTCGAGTCGCAGAAGATCTCTTGCCCATCGAACTTTGGAGTTGTCTCGCGCGCTTCCGAGCTCGAGTGGGTGGCGGCAGTACAGATCCGTTGCACCAACTGTTGCGTTGTGGTTTGCTGTAACTGCACGCTGTCCTTGAGGGATCCGACGTCAATCTCCAATGCCTCGAGGCGATCGGAGGTGTTGGAAGAGCTGGCAGCGGGGACGGCGACGGGTCGCTGCTCCAGCTGATGGAGACGGCTGTGGACGTGAGACAACGCGTCGTCGCGGCTGTGGATGTCCTCCTGCTGTGTAATGCATGTTGCCAGGAGACCGTGAGATGGGAGAGGAGAAGAGCGATCTTGTTTTCACTCTCTGTCATCTTACCGTTCTCGGCCTCGGCCCGCCAATCCGATGCCATTGTGAGCAAAGCTCGCTCTCCGCTGAATATCTTCTCGCGTCGTTGAACTCGTTCTTCATCGGCAGCCTTTGCTGCTGCCTCGTCTTGTGGGCGCTGCTGTTTGATTGCCAACAGACGTGCCTTTTCAGCGTCCTCTGCCTTCTTCTTTGATGTGGCTGCAACTGCATCTGACCGTTGCTTAGCTTCGGTAATCAGGAGCAGCATCCGGGCCTGATAGGCCTCATCCATTTCCCCGAACTTCTGGTCCATGATGGTTGTTTGCGAGCGCAAGAGCATAGACCAGGCCGGGGGCCTCTTGACGTGGTACTCCCTGCTGCTGATGTGGCACTGATGTCGGCTGACGTGGCCTGCTGACGTGGTCTGCTGACATGGTCTGCTGACGTGGTCTGCTGATGTGGCCTGCTGACATGGCAACTCACCAATGCCACCGCAGGGGGTGCCTGGAGACAGATAGAGAAGGTAAGACCAGAGGGGGCAACAACATAGGTGGGGAGGGGTGGGTGGGATAATCGCCCAGATAAGGAGCCACTAATCAAAAAAGAAAAGTTTGAACTTTGCAAAAAAAAAAAAAAATCCAGAAAAAGAAACAAATACTCGTTTGCAATTTCAGTAGGCCTCCCATTTCCCCCTGAAGTGCAAAATTACCCTGAGGAAAATTTTCGAACTTTCATACTGCAAATGATTGTCCCATAAGAATTCCGAAAAAAATAAAATGCCGCAAATATTCGGAATTACTCAGATGAGAGTACATGCAGTTGGAGAATGATAACTGCAAGAGGGATTTCCCATACCGTTTAAAAAAATGAATTTCGGAAGAAATATTTCGGATTTTCCAAATAACGGGAAATTGCAAAAGGAAATCAAAATTTTCGAAAAGAAAGATATTCCGGATTTTCAACAACAAAATTTCGAATTTTCAGAAGAAAAACGAAAACGGAAATTTCAGATGTTGCGCTATTGCGATTTTCCACAACAGAAATAGCGAGAAAACAAAATCCAAGAAAAGAAAAAAAAATTCAATTTTCGGCAGTGAGGTCAGAATCGTGATTTTGGGGGCTAACTAGTGTGCTCTAATCAAACAATCAAGACTAATCAGCTACTTAGTCCCTGCACACGTGTCAGATCAGGTTGTCCTGATTCACGTGCGGTGTTCCGATACCAACTATTACATGCCTAGTTGGGCGATGTATGTAAATCGCCAAGGATCCGCAATGTGATGGAAAGGACTGAATGGACAATGCAATGCTAATGAAATCTCAACAAGCAGTGTACATCCTGATACATACAAAATGGTGTTTTATAGCGCAGTGGAAGAGTTAGATACAAGTCCTGACCTGACCGGGACTGACCTCTCTCACGTAGCACAAGACAGCGGAGCAGAATGCTAGAATACCAATGACTAACCCAATCAATGTCGCAATACAGACCAAACGTACACCAGCCTTATCACAAAGTGTGAAGGGGCCTGGCGAGGATTGAGCCCTCAAGTAGGGGCCTTGCCATGATGTACATGTTCTGGGATAAGGCCCCAGCAAGCCTCGTGCCCGCCCTAAGTGAAGGCGGGCCAACAAATCAACAAGAGCCCTCTGTGCCAACATTTCACGAAGTGGGGTTCATACAGTTGCAGCACGCCAGTTGGTTGGTGTGCACCGAGTCTCGGATTTCAGCAAATGCTGAAATGCCCAGGGCCTCTAAGTTAGTTAGGCCCTGGGCACGCGAACGTGAGGCCGACAATGCATGCTGGGTAGAGAGGCCGAAAATGCCAAAGGGAAATCGGCCCACTATCTGAATCTGGCCACAGGCCTTGATGAAAGAGGCGCAACTGCATTRCCCCGGGGCCCAACTRTATCGAGTTGGCTTCAGCCTCTGGGTCCCGGTCACAGGCTGAARGGAGGCCGCCCACACGCTGCATTGGCATATAGGCAAGCAGGGCGAGGGAGCAGGGATCTTGGCCAATGCTGGCACTTGCGGGCACGCTGCGCGGATGCATGTGTGCTGCGCTGTGCAAAGCAGCGCTGCGCTAAGAGCAAGCAGGCCAGCGCTAGGCGGTAGGGCGTTGCCTGCATGCAAGGCACTGGCGGCCATAGCCGGGCCACATGAGGGTGTAGGAGAGGTGAAGGGCGAAGGTGGTCTTCGGAGGTGAAGGGCGCTGTGTGGGTAACAAGGGAGAGTGTGGGGAAGAGGACACGTACCTGGTGGAGGTGGAGGTCGGCATTGGTGTTGACATCATCACTCGCTGGTAGTCAAGTTGTCTGGTTGCTTTTCATTGCTGTAGTTGTAGGATAGGCTGTAGAGTAGATAGGGCGCCTGGCGCCATTCACAAGAGAGAGCTACATTTGGGTTATGCTGTTGGTGTTGCCCTGTTGGGCATGGACATTGACTCACGATTCTTCTGTATCATTCTCAATTGGATGGTTACTCGGTTCCATTGTACTATCTGCTTTGGCTTGGACTACTTGGACTTCAGTGTGAATTTGCATTCTGGATTTCTATGCTTCGTCCATACTCATGTT